AAACCAATTCACTCTCTTTCCTGTTTAACAACCATTGCAGTCTGAGGAAGACAGGAAGAATATCCTCAGGCTGCAGGATCTGGTGGACAAGTTACAAATGAAGGTGAAATCCTACAAGAGACAAGCTGAGGAGGCTGTGAGTATTTGCTTGGAGAAATCACAAGCATTGCTTTCTCTGGGTGTTACACAGGAGCTGTGGAGTTATCATAAATGTGGAAAATGCCAGTGCTCAGCACTTGAGGGGTGGGATAGAGGTTTAGAAACGCAGCGCTGAGGCCGTGAAGGGTGTGCGCAAGTACGAGCGGAGGGTGAAGGAGCTCACCTACCAGGTAAGGCTTCTGGGGGCTGATGTACCCACTTATGGGAAGTACAAGTGTTCACACCTGATTGCCAAGGGGAATTGCTAACTGCCATGGTGGAGAAACCAATTCACTCTCTTTCCTGTTTAACAACCATTGCAGTCTGAGGAAGACAGGAAGAATATCCTCAGGCTGCAGGATCTGGTGGACAAGTTACAAATGAAGGTGAAATCCTACAAGAGACAAGCTGAGGAGGCTGTGAGTATTTGCTTGGAGAAATCACAAGCATTGCTTTCTCTGGGTGTTACACAGGAGCTGTGGAGTTATCATAAATGTGGAAAATGCCAGTGCTCAGCACTTGAGGGGTGGGAGGGTATAGAGGTTTGTGCCTTCCCCCAGGAACCAGCTGCTGCCTCTCAAGGCTTTTGTCCAGGAGGATTTAAACCCCTGTCCTGGGCTCCTCACCACCAACTCCCTCTCTCCCCATACAGGAGGAGCTGTCCAATGTCAACCTCTCCAAGTTCCGCAAGATCCAGCCCGAGCTTGAGGAAGCTGAGGAGAGAGCTGACATTGCAGAGTCACAGGTCAACAAGCTCCGAGTGAAGAGCCGTGAGTTTCACAGCAAGAAGATAGCAGAGGAAGAGTGAGGCTGTCACGAAGCAGCAAAGTGACCTGGGGGATGCACAAAATGTGAACCCTCTGTCACTTCCTTCTGCATTAAGTGTTTCTAATGTGTCAATGCATAGAGAATAAAGTCTGTAGATTGCTCTGCACACACAGCTGCTTTTGGTTGTTACAATTCAATTCTGCAGTTGTCTAAGTATTGGTTGTTTTCAAGCCATTCATTTTCAGGAATAAGCTCCTGAAATTAATTTCTTTCCTGGAGCAAGATCCAGAAACTCCAGTACTCTGACTACTAGGACAGTTAAAGGCATGTGAGCAAACAGAATTGTTTGCACTGCGTTACAGAGTTTCCCCATGATGGAATTGTGAGTGAGAGTTAGAATAAATAAATCTCTATAAGGAGAGACATTGCAAACCTACATTTTACACGTTTGCAAGGACATAGGAAGAGGAACTGGCTTATATTTTCCAAAACTGACCTTGAGAACAAGTCTGGTAACTTGACACCATAAAGAAATCTCCAAGACTGACACCAGGAGAATACAGAGACTCTCTAAGCAAGTTGGCTCCACACTGCCCACCAGTGCTTGCTGCCTGCCTTCTGCAGCAAGGGAGGAGCTGTGTTGTGTAAGTGACCTGAGCACTGGCTGGAAAGAAGTACCTGACAATCACTGACTGGGGGAGGTTGCCAGAGTGTACAGCCTTTTGCACCTACCACAGCTGTCAGTGTGTTTGCAGCAACAACATTCAGGATTAGGACATCTTCCTTCTCCCAAACACACTGAGGTTTACACCCAAGTATGGAAGTAGTTTGCTAGGCAGCAGCTAAATATACTTAAGGAAAAGATGATGCCCTCTGTTGACTCCTGTGTCCCTGTAAGTGATGCTCCTGAGAGAGCATCTCGATGTGTGAAGCTGTGAAAGCTGCATCAGTGCCAAGGAGAGCTGGGCAAAGAAGGAAAATCATTGCTCTCCTTTTCCCCTCCCACAGTGTTCTCCCAAGAAACAGGTGGGATTCTTTGTTTCCAGACAAATCCTCTGTTTCCACACCTCAAAAGGGAGCAAAAGGGGTTTGCTTGTTGATATTTCAGCAAAAGGATTTTGTTTGTTGATATTTCTTTAAACAAACAAACCAACTAAGAAACAGCCCCAAAAGGTTAGCTCAAAGTCAGTGAATGCAATCATGGCTCAGGAAGAGCATGGAGATGTATTTCCAGCTCCACGGATATCTTTTTTAACCTGCTGAATGACTAGAAAATACCACAACAACTTTGGGGACAATATGTTGATGCCTAAAATCTTTGTTCCCCTTGGACAATATTACAACAGCTCTGCAAAATGAACAACCTATTCTCACTGTGGAAGAATCTTGAAGCACTTGAAGCTGTTTGGGCTCATCTCTCACCTGTAAGAAATTATCACCTGAACATTTGTTCCTAAGTGCTCAAGTGATGAAAGGGAACCTTGCAGGTTCCTTAAATGGCAACACCTTGAGCTGTTTACCTCCTTCCTGTGTGTAGGAAAGTGTGGGAAGTCCCACACTGCACTGTGCTGACCTGGCCTTGCCATTGGCCATCCTGGAAAGCATAGCTGAAGAATTTTTGGAGTCAGAGTGGAATATTAATGGAAAGGGTAAGAAAACCTAACTTCTCCTTGTGATTTGCTGCATTAGATGGGGGACAGGAGTCACTTTGCATCCACACACTATTTCTGGAGTCAGACTGCTTGTGACCTGAAATGTGCTGATGCTCAGGTAACTGATCTTGGGAAAAACATGGGCCCATAACAGGCATGAAGGAAAATCTCTAAGAGAAGGTTTAAAATAGATGCAGCTGATGAGCTCCACTAGAGCTGCTGTCTCATGCAGACTAGAGTTCTCTGAAGTCTATAAACTTGGGTAGGAAATTGCGTGTCCTGAGCACAAAAGCATCAGGTCTTTATGAGCCTTCTAAGACGTGGAGAAAGGATTTCTGCTCTGAAGACAGACGTTTCTCAGAGGCTTCTTGCTAACAATACTGGATTCAGCTCTCAGTTTTCTAAGTACTTACCTTCCATGTCCTCAGGCCACAGCACCATTGCCTAGACCAAAAGGGCTTTCCTCGCCAGTGAAACAAAAGGAACAGGCCAGAGTGTGAGCAAGAGGAAGGAAGAGAGAAGGAAAGGAGGGAGAGGGAGAGAAGAGGACAAGTGGCATGGGTAGAGAAGGGAGGAAGATATTGAGGGAGATTAAAAAGAGAGCAAGATTGAGAAGGAAAGACTGAAGGGGAAATGAGAAAGATTCAGGAAGGGGAAGGGAAAGACAAATTATAGATGGAAGAAAGAAAGAAAAAGGAAGGAAAGAAGAGAACAATCAAATTAACATCATTTAGCTGTTGGTACCTGACTCTGAACTTCAATTCTGCTGCTGTTTATCACCTGAGTGTTTGTTAGTTACAACATCAGCTCTCTTCAAGTACCTGTGTCACAGTATGACTCGTTGCTGTTCCCAGGTGCAGAATACCTGCATTAGCCAGAGTTGTGATAGGAAAAACAAAGGGATGCAGGAAACTCACTTGGGAGTGACTGTAGCAGCTATACCTACACCAGGAGTGTAGGTATAGCTCACCTCACTGCTCACCTCACTGCTCTGGTGAAACCTGCTGTCCACACTCCCATTTCACACCCACTGCCCTACAATGACTGTCTTGCTGCATAAGAGAGTGCCTGGAGAAACAGATCTGTTTTCTGAATCTCTGCTTTGTCCTGGCACTGCAAGAGGGGCAGGCAGGCTGTGTGTGGTGCCTCCTCACACCCCAGGTCCTGTGGGCAGTGATGGTAAAAACAATGGCTGAAAACACAGCAGGTAGGCACACCTTGGGGAAACAGAAGTAGTGCTGGGGCCTGGTAAAGTGTGGGACACTCCTTGGAGAGCAGAGAGAGCAGGAGCATCCCAAGCCCTACATGAAATGCTATTTTACAAGCTGGTTATTCTTTGAGGTACAGTTTTGTCAACTTGACCTTCATGCAAACAACCATGAAGTACAGAGAAGCGAAGTCACAACTCCAGCCTGTTCACAGCCCTTGACTAAGTGCCCTGCAGAGACATACCTTGGAGAGCAGAGAGAGTGGATTCATACTCTGGGTATGCACGACATCCTACTGCTTTGCAAGCTGGTAATGCTTCCAGATACAGAGTCTAAACGTGATGATCTTCAAGGCAGACACACAATACATGGAGTATTAGAATTTAAGCTAGGCAGGAGGTTTTCCCCATCTTTAAGTTCTCTTGGAAATGTTCAGAATTTCCTCCTCTCTTTGTATTCCAAAGCACTTTTTAATCTTTGTCCCATCCTGAATGACAACTACCTTGGTTAGCCAAAAATCTGGCCTTTGTGAAGAATGGACTATGTCCATGCCTCTACATTGCAATACAGAACCAATGAAGTCACACAAGGAGACACTTAAAGATTAACAAGGAGAAAAAATTGGTTTTCCTAGGGGTGATTAGCAACTGTGGATGAGACCTCATGGAAGTGAGGGGGAAATGTGCATGGAAACATAATACAAATAGCTCCTGATAGTTCTGTGTGACTGCATGCACCTCACTCTGTTGTCAGGTGACATTCTGGGTGTGGAAACTGGTTTTTTGATCCTAAGTAATTTGGGGCAGTTCCCAAGCACAGCTCAGACAAGGATGATGTGCATGTTCCTTCCATTCATGGCATTGAAAAACACACCAAAACCATATGAATTGGCTGCCTAAATTTATGGCACCTGTTATCTGCCAGTGATTTCAACTGCTCAATATATTCTCAGACCTTTTCTGGGGAGATCAGTCACTTTCTCAAAATTACACTATTTAGTAACCCTGACTTCCCTTCAATCCAAATCCTTCTCCATCTTCAACTCATTCTACCACCTGTTGTCTCTCTTTTTGCTGGTTCTATCCACAGCCCATCCAACCTTCTCATCCCACTCACCTGCTCTGTAACAGGATCTCCTCAGCTGCTTTGGCGAGTGATGGAAAGGTCATCCTGAAGGTCATGTCCTCATCCAGGACCCACTCTCCTGTTCTCTTCCATTGGTGCTTCCTGGAAAGATAGGAGGAGCCTAAGTAACTGTGTAACTTTGACATTCACTCAGCACCTGCCCAGGTATATTTTTTACCTTCTTCTCTGTGTCATAGTTAAGTGATGCTGAGACACCTTTGGAGTCCCAGTTGCTCCCTTTCCGCTCTTGTTTCTGAAGGACAGAAATGTAAAACAATGTACATACTTAGGTGGCAAACTGTGAGGTACCATTAAGCTATACCATAAATGCATTGAAAAATTGAACCTTGGAGCAGTTTCAAGGGAGTACAATTAGGACACAGAAAGATCTTCACAGTCCCTCCATTCTCTAGTGCATGGACAGGGCAGTGTTCACAATAAGTTCTAGCCCCAGAAATGCTACCTTAGCTTTGCCGTGACCAGTGACACAAAGAGTCAAAATTGCCCTGTAAACATTCTGTCTCTCCCTAAATATCTTCAAGTTTTTGGTGGTTCTTTTTATCAATCAGGTGAACAGAACATTTTCCTCAAAACTCAGTTAATACCTCCAATCTTATCTCATGCTCATTATGGGAATTTCAAGCTACATAGCACTACACCACCACTTTGGGCTAGACATTCCCTGCAGGTAAACATGCATTTCATCAACCACATGCATTGCATTAGTCAACAGGAGAAAAGGAGGTTTGGTTAAGGAAAGTGTGTCCTACCATCTCCAGAGTCCAGTGCCCAGCTTCACCTTAATGTTGGGAAGTGTTGGGATGAGAAGCCTTACTCTGAACGATTAGTGTTCCAGCAATTCTGGTTCGTTGGTGCTAACATTCCCAGGAGCTCTCGTTTTACACCGAGGGCAGCAGAAATCCTACTGCAGCAGGGGCTGAGCATTCCCTGTCAGCCAACCCATCAGGGGTCCACAGAGCTCACTGATCCCTCCAGCATGCCCTGCTCATACTGAGAGCGCGGCCGACAACAACCCTGGCAAGCTGCAAATCCCA